GGCTGCGGCACCTCCGCCGGGGCCCCGTCAGACTCCCGCGCTGTCACTGACGCCGCGCCTCTGCCTCTAGCGACGAATGACGTCTGAAAAATGCGAGAGAGGTTTAAAATCTCCAATGTCTGTTTATTCCTCCCCCCGCATGAGGAGTATGTAAATTGTCCCCTGCTTTTTTCAATGAGGTATTTCAAATCCGCGGGGCGTTTTACCTGCAAATACGTAATTCCAGATGTGCTAGGATCGCAAATCTCTTATCAGGTTTACTGGGGGGCGGGGGAAGGGATGCCATTAGGCAAGATTAAATTATCTAAATGTTGTTACAATTTCCATTAAATACGAGAAGTTGTATCCCACGTTTGCAGGATGCGTGTCCACACAATCGCTTATTCAGACTAATAAAGCAGGGGCTCACCCTGTGGCAAACAGGATTACTTATAAAACCGGTATCTTAGTAAGCATGTAGTGACTAGAGGAGCTTGTGTTCCACTCTGTTCAGGTGACATGACACATCTCCAGGCTGAAGTGTTTACAGACTTTAATCCCAACTCACCTCAATTCATGGGGAAGCTGAAGTGCCCAAATAAAATTCTGTGAGGACAAGTCAGGCATACATTTCGTGAGGCGTTAGCTGCTCTTCAGATACTGAATTCCTCCAAATTGCTTTCCTCATTCTTTAAACCTACCCAGCTAGCACACTCCGCCATTGCTGACTTAATACACTTGTCTTCCATGTTGCCCGTTTTGTCTCAAAAAGCAAAGTTTCTAAGCCACCCTGTGCCTCCTTGCCTTTTTCGTGTTTATTTTACTCCTTCCCGCCTCCTTTTGCTCTGCAACCCTCACCAACGGCTGACTTCACTCCTGAGACATACCCAAACGTCGTTTTTATCCTTGCAGCCACCCTTGGGATAGCGAGCGGACCTGCAGGTAGCAGAACGTGTCCGAAGAGAAGCTCCTCTTGCCCTGCTGCGGAGGTTTCCCTCAACCCGCCTCTCTTCCGCAGCAGCAGAGCGCAGGGATAAAAGGTACTACACGCTGAAAAGCTCAACTTTTGTCACTTATTTATTACTTCTTAACGTACCAGCAGGGACAGCTGGTGCGCTGCAAGGCCCGGGCAACCACGGCTTTCCCCACCGGCCTCCCCACGGGAACGGCCCCCCCTT